TGTAGACAATCTGGCAGCCATGGTTCTCTCTTCTTCCTCTTTACCACACCAACCCTCGAACCTCTCTTGATGTGTAGGGCACACGTAGACCATTTAGCAACTACGTTCTGTGCGAGAAGTGCTTTTTGAAACGCAATAGGCCAGTTGTAGGGCATGCTCCACAGCGGTATGTATGTGCACATCATGTGCTTGTACAGTTGTTTTCACGCTTATACATAGCGAATGAGAGGACGAGTTCACACACACAACCAATCAGATGTGCTTGTACGGCCCCTGTTTGACATTTTTACAAAAGTCAATGAAAAAGGCGCAGCTCTCTCTCCTCTCCTCTCACACCCTCCAAATCCATCATACCCCTTCCCTCCTCTCTAAAACCACTCTCTCTTTTTGTTTCAAAAAATGCAATGTCCTTTGCTTTTTCTTCTTTTTCACTTTCTTTTTGGGTTAAATTAATATAAAATATCAGTATAAATAATTAACAATTTACCAAGTCAGTGCTCCACCATTTCCTCTCACTACAATCTATCTATTTCCATGTCAATGTCTAAGTCTGTGTTTGTGTCTGCGTCTCTTTCCTCCCCCTAGATTTTACTTCTCCCCCAAAAGTCAGCGCCGTCCTTTGTGCCTCTCTTTACTTCTCCATGTCTTTCATTTACCCAAGTGCTTCCTCAAGATTCGCCTAAAACAGTACAAGCTGCAGCAAAAGACACACAGAAATAAGATTAGGACTGGTGGGTTGGGTGAGAGTTTCAAGAAATGGCAGATGATTGGGATCTTTACGCTGTGGTGAGGAGTTGCAAATCGGCCACCCACACCACCACCACTAACACTTCCGCCGCCGGCGCACCCACAAATCCCATTACCCCACCCTCCGCGGAGGAAGAAGACCCTTTTTGGGATTGGTTGAAATCCGATGAGGAAACTGACCCATTATTCTCTTTCCCCAATCTCCTCGAGCCCAGAGCCAATGCTTTCCAAGAGCTGCAACAGTTTTACGAACCCCTTTTGCCCAACCCCACCACCACCAACAATCCCAGCACTAACAACAACACCTTTGTTCCTCCTATTATTCCAAATTCCCCCATTATTTCTGACTTTGGAGGATCTGCCAGTAGTGGCCAACATCACCTACAACAGCAACAGCATCATTTTCTGCCAACCAACACCCCCGCGAGCCCTCATTTCAACCCTGCCATCTTTCGTCCTGGTTTTGGAGAATTCCATGGCCAACAACAGCCGCTTCTGCTACCCAAACCAGAGACTCAAATTCTACCCCAACAGCTCCCAACGCAGCAGGGTTTTATGAGGCCTCGGGCCATGGTTCCCGCTCTTCCTCCTCCTCTTCCTCGTGTACCATTCACCATGCCAATCAACTCCCCCCGGCCAAGAAAAAGGTATATTTGCAGTATAGATTCCCTTTTATATTATTTCTTCTTACTCAATTGCTTTTGATATCAACTGGTTCACAGGAAGTGTCAGCAGAAAAGACAGGTTTGTCAAGTAAGCGCAGAGAATCTCTCCGCCGATTTATGGGCATGGCGTAAGTACGGCCAAAAACCTATCAAGGGTTCTCCTCATCCAAGGTAAATTAGGTTAATTTCTCTGCAATGATTTTCCTTTCCTTTTGCAATTTCCTCTCTGAAATACCAAAGATGCTTCTTCTTTATTTTCTTTTTCCCTTCTCTTTTGGCGTCTCCACAGGAACTATTACCGCTGCAGTAGCTCCAAAGGATGTTCAGCGAGAAAACAAGTGGAGCGGAGCACGGCGGACCCCAACATCTTCGTCGTCACGTACACAGGCGACCACAATCACCCTCGTCCAACGCATCGAAACTCCCTTGCTGGCAGCACCAGAAACAAGTTATCAGCGACGGCGGGTCAAAACCAGCCCATCAACAATAACCCCGGTTCACCACCAGCCCAAGCTGACCAAGACGCTGTTGCCAATAACGTCAATTCTGACAATTCACTTGACAAAGAAAATGAGGAGCTTGATGAGGAGGAGGAAAGGGATGAGAACGAGATAGAGGACGAGGACGTGGAGGAGGACGATGTTCTGATCCCGAACACAGCCATGCCGGATGAGATATTCTTGGGGCTGAAGCAATTGGGTTGTACTAGTTCTAGTGGTAGCGGGGGTTCTCTGGCGGCAGGTGCTTCTGGTGATACTTTTTCGGATCAAGAGCCGTCAAGTTTGGGGTCTTCTTGGGCTGCTGCCGGAGCCACCGTTGGCGGAGGCTGCTAGAACCGACAAGTTACCGTTTGCGAAGGCTGATAGGTTTTTGGTTTAATCTTTTGTTACCGTGTTGGTTCTATGAGAGAGAGGGGCGGGAGGGATTCTTATTAGATTGTATGTAAATAGATATAGAAAAGAGTCCCTTCCTTCTTCAGCCTATAGGGAGTTTTCAGCTTTATTTTCCTCTTGTTGTAAATTGCGCATATAAAAGGTTTCTTTTTAAGGCTAATTTGTTGTGGTGAATGACAAAGAAAACTGTTTATAACGAATTTACCGACTTATACCATATTCATGTTAAACTTATATATACGTGGAGGAGGTATGTGATTAATAATATAATCATTAGACATAATGTTTATAACATTACACTTTACATGTGGTAAAAAGAGTTTCAGGCACACGTTTCATGTCAATAAGAATAAAATTGTTTATAATCGATTTACCGACTTCTACCATACTTACCTAAAACTCGTATTTACGCGGAGAGATGATTAGTAACATAATCATCAAACATGGTGTTCATAACGTTATGCATGGTAGAAACGCTTTTAGGCACATGTTTCATTTTGACCAATATATTGACTTGTATGTATCAAATTCACTTAAAATTCATCCACATGGATAAACGTAGTTAGTAACATAATTATTAAACATCCTCCCCTTGGTCAAGAAAAATAATTTAGGCACACGATTTGGGTGTTATAAAAGACTAGTTTAAGAATGTGATTTTAGTATATATATATATATATATATATATATATATATATAGCATGGATCACGACGTGGTATGATGTTCGTTCTTACAGGTTATACACTTCATTTAGAACAATTTATTCCGTCACCAACACTCATGAGACATCAAATTTGTAATCTTTCCATTCATAAACATGTAATTTAAGAAAACCCCAAACCCTCTTTAATCTACACATACACTTTACTTAAAGAAAACCCTCTTTATTTCATCTTTCATTAATGATTTTGTGAAACAATTAATATCCTAATTAATTAGAGTATCCAACAAAAAGCATCCATATGAATGAATTAGGAAGTGCTTTGCTCTGTCAACATTTTTTACTATGCCAGGTCATCACCGGGTAAATACAGAAACTAGCACTGAGTAGTAGAACATAAATCTAATTATAATTTTAAAAATAAAAACAATATTTTAGAGAGAAAAAAAAATGGGTATATTTATTTATAAATCAAGTGGGTGTAAGACAGTTGTCGGTTTCCACGAAAGGTAGGGTTTAATTAGTCAGACCGTGACCCGCTCCGGTTCAGTCGCCTTCATCACGAGACAAACACTAGATCCCCTTTTTGTCTGGTCATATAATGGGGACAAATATAGTTGGCTTCTCGGGTCAAATATTTTTTCCCCTCTCTGGATATAATTACGAGAGTGGGTCAAATCTATTTTATTCAGGGTTTTGTCTTTTACTTAATCTCGAAAAATAATATCGTGTATGAACGAAAACATAATAAATATCCACAACAAGGGTCGGTTGCAGAAAAGAAATACTAGGTTTTAAATGGGTGAAGCAAGTTGTTGGGTTATTGTATTCGAGAAATATGAGGATGACCCTGTCAAAAACAAAACGTATAAGGTCATTCTTTTTTAATAAAATATAGGGTCTTTGTTTATTAAATATTATCTCTTACTAACCAAATTAAAGTTTTGTTAATCATTTTATATATTAATGGGTTTATACTCTCTAGCCTCATTGTGGTATTCTCAAATTTGTATTCGACCTCTTAGCTCAAATTTGTAGTATACAAATGGAGGCTCACTCACCCCAAAACTTATACCTAGACTCTTTTACCACCAGCTTTTTTACATTTTATCTCTCCTTCTCCCTCTCTTGCTCTCTCCATCTCTCCTTTTCATACAAGATTGAAAGGAAATACCAAGGAAAGAGATGCCATATATAAATTATCATCTCTTGTGCTAGATTCTCATAATAACGTCATTTTATTTTAATTAAAAAAATGGAAGCATCGTAAGAGTATACACGGATAAGATGAAATCATATGAAACCCAATGTGAGAGCCATGAACAATAACGTAATATTCAAATAGATTCACGATATGAACCAATTAGAAAAGGAAGCCGGGACACCCAAAAGCTACACATCCAAACAGCTTTGCCAACAACAAAAACTTGGCCTGGGCTTATGGGACTATGAAGTCTGTGATTGTGTTGTAGCAGTGGAGGCGATTTTTGTTGGGGTTATGAGCAATAAGGAAGGAAACGAGAGGCCTTTGAGATTTTTGAATTTGATAGAGATTCCCGAATGAGGTAAAAACCTAAACCTTAAATCATATCATTAAAGATATGACTTGTGGCAAGGAGCTTATAGTTCAAGTGGTTAAAGACATTTATTCACGCACCTGAGGTTTTAAATTCAATTTTCTCTTCCCTAATATCGCATGTATAAACAAAAGAAATGGTGTGTGAAAATGAGTAGCGAGTTTTGATCCATCATCAAGTTTATGTATTGTTGGGCTTTTGTCCCTACAAAAAAAAAAGTGAAAAAAAAGAAGACGTTTATGCTTAGGCCCAGAGGATATTGCAGGCCTTGATTTGGGCTTATGATGATGTGGCAACACCGAATTATAATGAAACAGGATTCGGGACACCCATCGTCTCTTTCCTTTCTCAAAACGGGTTTTACAGTGAGCGAGTTCTGTGTCTGTGAGCTAGGTAGGAGGAGAGGACCGATACGATACAGAGCTTCACATCACAGAGAGAGTGTGATACTAAAAGATGTTCCTGCGAGCGATCGGACGGCCATTAATGGCCAAGGTGAAGCAGACGACGGGGATCGTAGGGCTGGACGTGGTCCCCAGTGCCAGGGAGGTCCTAATCGAGCTATACTCCAAAACCCTAAAGGAGATCCAGGCCGTTCCCGAGGACGAAGGGTACCGTAAGGCCGTCGAGAGCTTCACACGGCAGCGTCTCAAGGTCTGCCGCGAAGAGGAGGACTGGGAAGCGATCGAGAAGAAGCTTGGCTGTGGCCAAGTCGAGGAGCTCATCGAGGAGGCACGTGACGAGCTCACCCTCATCGGCAAGATGATCGGTCCGTACAATTTATTATTAGTATTATTTTTCATAATTGAGCTATTTATTTTTCTATTTCGGAAATAATGAAATTAGAAATGTTGAATTGAGTTTTGCTATTGGCATTGGTCCTAGGTCCTAGAACATGCGAATTGAGCTAAAGGAGCTCAAAGATCGGTTCCTGCTCAGAAATGTGGTTGTGTTTTCTAAAATGAAGTGCTTGTTTGTGGTTTCTCAGAGATGTGGTTTGTTTGGTTGATGAGAAATAGAAAACTGAAATGGACTTGGAAATTTTGGCGATTCAGTCTGGCCTCTGTAGTTTTGTGATGGTGCTTTAGTTCCCCAGGTTTAGTCGTGGAAATTATGATGGAAAACTGAATAAAGGTTGTAAATTTATAGTGGTCATGTTTAGGCGGTGCTTTTGTTTATTACAATCATGAAACGAAAGGCTTCACTTGATTTTATCAGTTTCAAAGAGAATATGATTTGCTTGAGAATGACGTATTGTTGACTTGATGCATATGAAGCTGCAATTTCACTCTGTTCACTGTATATAAAGTTTAGTGTGAGCTCTATTTTGTTCACTTGGATGCATGTCAAACTCTCATTCGATGTCCAAAGTAGAAATCTTTTATCGTGTCAACTATGATGTTTACTAGCCATTGTAGTCAATTGTTTCGATTAACGTGGCGTCTTTAGTTCTTCTGTCTCAGTGTTTTATTGTTCAAACGTTGGAAATGATATCTTCTGTTGCCATTGTATGTATGAAGTGCTAGTTTGAGCGAAACTGATATAGTATATTATTTCCAAAGTAGCATTGAATTGTATTGTTTGTAATAGTGTGCATTCTGTGTTGTGTTGGATTGCAGAGTGGGATCCATGGGGTGTTCCTGATGATTATGAATGCGAGGTGATCGAGAATGACGCGCCTGTTCCCAAACACGTTCCTCTGCACCGACCTGGCCCTCTTCCCGAAGAGTTCTACAAGACGCTGGAGGGTCTTACTACAAACCAAGCAAAGTTGGATGAGGCTAAAGCCACCTCTATCGGGTCCGAATCAAAGGAGTAACTGTCTTACTGGCATATGCTCCTGGGGACTTTGGACTCCAAATTCAAATTTGAGTCTTTTTTCTTGAATTCTCCTGTTTTTTTTGTTGGTGCCAGTGGGCCTGTTTGCTAGGCAGTATAAATTTTCAAGTATGGGAGGGAGGCATGGATTTTTCAATAATCTACACTCCAAGTGTTGTTATCGTAAAGTAAAACTATGTTGTTATCTTTATTTATGCTCTTGATTTCCATTGAAAATGAGTAATGTAGAAGGTTAGCTTCTACTGTTCTGAATGCTGCTTGTTTCCATTTTAAATAAAGAATTAATGTTACAAGTTTGTCACAAAACTCACAACACAAGACAATCTCATTGCCAACACTCTAACAATGAATCCTCGTTATTTTCGAATGTCATTATAGAACATCAACTATGACATACAGAGTTATGAAATATTTTGTCCTGTTGTAAACTAGCTGCAACCGTGCACGAGCACTCGCCCTTCCTGAAGACATGCAATCGGTTCCCGTCCCTCACAATGATCTCCCTATCAACAAACTGAGTTACAATCATTATAAAGTTATGGCATTCGCTGCATATACGCATGTTCTTCGATATGCGTATGGAAGCGTTTAACGGCGTTCTGAGAAGACCAAATGCAACAGCTAGCTTCTCAATATGATAAGATGAATCTTCATAGTCCTGATACAAGTTTCCTCGGTTCTTCAACTCCGTAATAAGCGATTCTACTTTTTCATGGATTTCATTTATCTGTGGATGTGATCTATCTCCCGCGTTGAATAGGTGAACCTTGTTTCTTATCTCCATCCAGCACTGCCCAGGATTCTTCTTCAATCCCCTCTCTCTCATCACCCTTCGGGTGCTCTTGGCTAAATCAGGCTGACCAGATTCTTCATACAAATTTGCAAGCAGCACATAAAAAGCTGGATCAGACGGGTCTACTTCAATACCTTGCCTTGCCACATATTCCCCCAGAGCAATGTTTCTATGTGACTTGCAAGCACCCAATAATGTCTTATAGATTAAGGCATCTGGTTTAGAAGGCATTGTCATGATCACTTCCATGGCATCCTCTAGTCGACCGGCTCGGCCAAGGAGATCAACTAAACAGGCATAGTGATCCAGTTGTGGAGCTATCTCATGCTTTTCTCTCATTGACTGAAAATGCTCAAGACCTAATTCAACCAAACCACCATGGCTGCAAGCAAAAAGCACTAACAGGAATGTAATGGAATCAGGTTTAAATCCTGCCAGCCTCATGTCATCGAAGGTGGAGAGAGCAGAGTAGATGTGCCCAGTTGATGCCAATCCAGATATCAATCCGTTCCATGATACAATATCTGGCTCAGAAATCCCCTTGAAAGCTCTGTAGGCATCATCCGTGCATCCACATTTCCCATAAAAGTCAACTAAGGCATTTGAAACTGATATCCCACTGGCTAAACCGGCTTTGATAGAATAGGAATGTAGTTGCCTCCCAGTTTCCATTGCTGCTAAGCTAGCTGATGAAGATAAGAAGCTTGCGATACTAAATCCATCCATTTCAACATCATCCATGTACATGCGAATGATGACATCCAGTGCCACTTCATATCGACCCATCTGATTCATTCTTGTGGCCAAACATGTGTATGTGATAGCATCTCTATGGATCATGGAGGTAACTACATGCCATGCATCATCCACCATCCCCAATGCAGCATAAGCATCCACAAGAGCATTCCCAACAACTGTATCACAGCCAGCTTTAATTTTAACTATAAGTCCATGGAGTTTCACTGTTTGACTATGAGATTTAACTGTACTGCAGGCACGAAGAATGCTGGAGAGAGTAAAGGAATTTGGCTGAACTCCTACTGCTCGCATCTCCGCAAAAGACTGAAAAGAATCTTTTTCGAAACCGTGTTCAGAAAAACCAGCAATCAAAGAAGTCCAAGTGATGACACTCGGTGAGGTTATGTCCCTAAACGCTCCCAAAGCATCTTCTGCGAGGTCAGAACATTTCATGTACATATCAACTAGTGCACCTCCTGCACAAGTATCATTCTCCAAGCCAGCCTTGATTATCCGTGAATGGATCTGTTTTCCCAATTCCAGTGATAAAATTTCCGAGCTTGCCTTCAGTATGCTAGAATATGTGAAATTATTTGGTACAATTCCAGAGAGCTCCATCTCATGCAATGCAGCAATAGCGTCCGTGACTCTCAAACTTTGTGTGAAGCCAGAAATAACAGAGGTCCACAATAACACATCAGAGTCAGGTGTTTGATTTGAAACCTTAATGGCATCTTCCATCTTCTGGCATTTTGAATACATATTGACCAGGGCTGTCTTCAAGACCAGGTTCAGCCTCATTCCCAATCTTATCAAATGGGCATGAAGTAATTTCCCGTAATTCAAACCGAGAGAATACGATGTAGCTAAAAGTTTCACAAAAGTGAACTCATTTGGATGAACCCCAGCACATATCATATCCATGTAATGGGCTAGAGCCTGACTGAATTTCTCAGCTTGGACTAATGAAGAGATGATTGTTGTCCAAGAAATAGTGTCCCGATTGTCCATGTTTCTAAATATCTTACAAGCCTCATCAGTGAAACCACACTTGGCATACAAATCAATCATAGTGCTGCCAAGATATTGGTTTGACTCAAACCCAAGCTTTATCACATATGCATGAATTCGAGTCCCGTAATCAAAATCTCCCAACAATGAGCACGACCGGAGGACAGTTGAGAGTGTAAACTCATTGGGGCACTGCCCAGAAATGCTCATCGAATCGAAGAATTCGAGCGCCTCATCATATCGTCCGTTCCTGACATAAGCAGACAGCATGCCAGTCCAGGACACAACATCCCTGTCAGGCATTTCATCGAAGAAGTGGCGTGCAGGTTCAACTCCAAAGCATTTTGCATACAAAGACAGCAAATTGTTGCTCAAGTAGAGGTCTTCCTGAAGACCCAGTTTAGTAATTGGACTGTGAACACAGACACCCTCTTTCAGGGCCCGTGAGTTGCATAATGAAAGAACCCGAAGGCATGTTTCTTTGAAACAGTTTACTTGAGTTGTGTTGATAACGAACTTGGTGACTGTCGGTAGAGACATAAAAACCCTTTTCTTATCGAAGTTTTACTTTGGTATTCGAAGCAGTTCCTTCCAACTCCGCGGACTCGTGGAAGCTTCCTTTCTCTATGGTCTCTCCAGTGATGCCTATATGATGGAAGCTTCCACGAAGCTATATCATCTCCTTGTTTTCTTTGTGTATCAGAGCTTTCACATTAACACATGCTCGGAATAAACAAAAGTAGAAACCTCGAAGAACCAAAGAAAAGTATAAGAACTCGCCTTCCTGTTGTGTTTTTCACTCTGGCACGGATACTTTCCCCAATGAGCAAGATAAACAAATTTGTTTCCGTTCAAATAAATCTAAACTTAAGAGGATCTCTGTAGAGATAAAGCAAAATGTGCTTGTGATTAAATTTTCATAAATCCGTTAAAATATTGTTAATGAATTAAAATCCTAAAAGTGAATATCAGTTCGCATATAATATAAAGTAGTAAAAATAACATTTTTATAGAAACTTTGAAATAATATCTATTTCACCCAACATTTCAAATATTAATAAATTTTCCTTTTTTTTTTTGGAAACTTTTTTTATTTGGAAAACTTAAATATTTCAAATTTAGGTTTTTTTTAGTACAAGTAATAGTCTAAATTATAATGTAAGAGGATTTTTCAGACACACACGATTATAATGTCATAGAGATTCGAATATAAAATCTCTAATCTTAAATATTTTATATTAATAATTAATTCTATATTTTTAACCTTGACTGTTGAATTGCATTTATATTTCATATTAAACATACCCACACAGCTTAACTTAAATACTTAATTAAGAATCCTCTCAATTTCCATTACTACTTCCGTAATTTCTAGATTTTTTGGGGCACTTGGGCAGAAGCCTAAACAACATCGTATTTCCGTGGTAGACTTTGACAAGTCTTTCCCTCTTCTATTACAATTTGTACTGTATGATTAGAGTGTGTATATATATATATTATACATTTTGCTCTCTTATTTTTGCCACCTCAAGTCAATCTTATTCTCAATCCCCTCTACTTTTTCTAGACTCTTCCATCTCCCTTCCCTCTCCTTCTCCTTCTACTCTCAGAGTCAGTCACCGTGCTTTGCCATGGCTTCCGATCTCGAAAAGAGGGCCAAGGAGGCGTTCATCGACGACCACTTCGAGTTGGCCGTTGACCTCTACACCCAGGCCATCGCTCTCAACCCTCAAAACGCCGAGCTTTACTCAGACCGTGCCCAGGCCAACATCAAATCCAATAATCTCACTGGTACTTCCTTCTCTTAGTTTCTTGTTTGGTTCCCAAAAAGCCCAGGAAAAGGAAAATAGTTAAAACCCAGAATTGATTGGATTTGGTATGGCTTCTCTAATTAATTCTCTATTGTGGCGTTTTATTTTTTCAGAGGCTGTTTCGGATGCAAACAAGGCAATTGAGTTGGACTCATCATTGTCTAAAGCGTACCTGCGCAAAGGGTGAGTGCGATTGCACAAACCAGACCCATAATTATGTTTGTTGTTTCTGTGTGCGCACCTATTTATATTGTAAACTCTGAAGGGTTTTGTTTGAAATTCTTGGATCGTAATTGCAACATCACATGCAAGTTTACTTTTTTATTGTTGATTTCAACTGAAAAACTGACTAGGTATTGTTGAAGTCCTTGGGGGCTTCCCTTTGCTATCAGTTATGTTCTGGATTGAATACATGCCAATGTAAATATCATGGCTCATTGGTCTCTTGTTTCCTATCTGTAAAACTTACGATCCTTCTTCTTTTCCATTTTTGGTTACAGAGTTGCCTGCATCAATCTTGAGGAATATCAGACTGCAAAGGCAGCCCTGGAAATTGGTGTTTCTTTGGCGCCAGAAGAGACCAGATTTGTCAAATTGATAAAAGATTGTGATGAGAAAATTGCAGGTGTGTTTTTTTGCTTTTATGGAAATGGTGGACCTTTTTCTTTTTCACAATAAGATGTTTTTACCTTTGTTATATAATGATTTTGTTCTGGAAAGGAAATATCTGAGGAAATCATTGTACAAGAAATTACTCTGTTGCATCTTGGTGACCTGCTTTTTGTCTTATTGATGACTATTTCATGTTCAATCAGAGGAAACCGGTGTTTTACCGGACCTTTTATTGGAAAAACCCAGTACAGAGGATGTTATCTCTACAAAAGATGTTGAGCCTGTGAGTGATCCTTCCAATCAGTTGACTGTAGCATTTGTCAAACCAAAATACAGGTTAGTTCAACTTTTTGTTGAGCTTGGCAGGATGAGAGATTAATTTAATTGCTGTTAAGGATTTTAGTCTTCTTCCTATCAATTTTTTTTCTTCTTTCTCTACTGTCTTTATTGTGGAGATGTGAAACTCCATAAAATAATGCATCCTTGGATAATACCCTTTCCGTTCTTTATGAGAATCCATTTTGTCACAGAAAACCCTTAGTTACTAAGATACATGATTTGGTGAAAATATTTACACAGGCATGAATTCTACCAGAAGCCAGACGAAGTGGTGGTGACTATATTTGCCAAGGGCATACCAGCCAAAGATGTTCATATTGACTTTGGTGAACAAATAGTATGTATCACATTGATCTAATGTTTGTTTTATTAATTTTTCTTATTGATTTTATAGTTGTCTCGATCTTAAAGAAAATTTTGTCTGCATCTTTGTATACAAGATTTATGAATTGGTTTTATTGGCTGTTTCCAGCTAAGTGTTAGCATTGATGTTGCTGGTGAGGATACATATCATTTTCAGCCTCGCTTATTCGGAAAGGTATTGCACCAATTTTATGTTTATGAGGAAATTTTTTTGTTAGCCAGGACATATAGTGAATTTAAGAACGCACACACATCCTTTCCATTTTCCCCTTGTTTTTTCTCTAATTTTTGAAATAAGTGGAGCACAGTATCCTTTGCATTTAATCTAGGAGTTTGCTAGTTTTATATATGGATGACAGAAGGCATCCATTCACGCCGTACATTTTTGGATGAGAAAATAACAGTGCGGTTTGGTATTTTGCAAACAGATAATACCTAAAAAGTGTAGATATGAAGTTTTGTCCACCAAAGTTGAAATTCGCCTGGCAAAAGCTGATCCATTACACTGGACATCTCTTGAATTCAGCAAGGATAACTCTGTTGTGCCAAGGGTTAGTGCGCCAGGTGGGTTAATATTTTGGTAAACCAGTTTTTCTGTTAAATAGAATGCATCCCTTTTCGCTTTGGAAAATAGTTGCTAAAAAGATGCAACTGCCTACAGTTATTGGAGAGCAAAGGCCATCTTACCCATCCTCAAAACCAAAACGGGTAGACTGGGATAAGCTTGAAGCCGAAGTGAAGAAGGAGGTTTGCTTGTAACCTAGTTAGTTGATTTGGCATTATCTTTTGCAAGTCTCAGTGCTTGACCACCTACTCTGTATGTTGTGGTTTCAGGAAAAAGAAGAGAAGCTTGATGGTGATGCGGCTTTGAACAAATTTTTCCAGGACATATATAAGGATGCTGATGAGGACACTAGAAGGGCCATGAGAAAATCTTTTGTAAGACTTTTGCCTGTCTAGTCTTTGATACCAGTAGTAGAAAGCATATGAGTTGTGGTCACATTGACTTGTACGTTGCATCCTAATGTTTTGTTTGTACAGGTGGAGTCGAATGGGACAGTGCTTTCGACAAACTGGAAAGAAGTGGGACACAAGAAGGTTGAGGGAAGTGCTCCAGATGGCATGGAGATGAAGAAATGGGAGTACTGATAAGACTGTTGCACCTAGTAGTTGGATATGATATGCCTGTAACTTATTTGGGAGTTTGTGATTTTGTTCGGTAGACTATATAATTAGTTTTCCAAGTCGTCTGGCACTCTGGCCGTTTGGATGTTTGTTTTTCATTTTTTCCTTCCTCTTTTGAAATCAACAAGAATTTGTTTATTTTCCTTTCATGTGTATTCCCCCTCTGTCGTGTTAAGCAGGTGCTTTTGTACACGCAAAACTGATCCCTATCGATCGATCTCATGTGGACAATTTTTAGTGTTTAATACATTATTATTATTACGTTTGTGGTGATCAGATTCTATTAGAGAGTTCTGCTGCTACTCTTTGCACTCAACTCAAGCATGGAATTATATTTTGTTTTCTTGGAGGAAAGTTGAATTACGCTTTTGGTTATCATATGTATATATATTGGTCAGGAAAGTTATCAATCATATAGTTCATCATCTAAGCTGGTGATTTCCTTTCATCTGGAAAACAAATAATTTTAGTGTTTGGTACATTCTCTAGAGAAAGGCTCTCATAATTATACACGCTAAAGAGAGTGGGTGAATAAACAGTATGATTGATTATTATATTATCCTTCATTTTAAAGTAATCATTCAGCTAATTTCATCTATATATATAAAGCAAAAGGCAGAAAATGGTGAAACATTCAAAATACCAAAAAATGCATTTGGTTAATGCAAATATTAAGAATTGAAATTATTAATTAAATGAGAATAATATGATAAATTCACACTTTTTTATATTTAAACAAAATTAAAATTAAAAGAAAAATCAGATAATGGATCCTATTTTTATGGAACACAACTACTCATTATCTTTTTTAATTCTAAAATAAATTTAAATTAAAAAAAAAAAAAAAAAAAAAAAAAAAAAAAAAAAAAAAAAAATCAGATGCAGAAACACGTGCGAAGAGGCTAGTAAGAATAAAGGATAACATTGGTATTCTATCCTCTGTGTCTTATTTGGGCCCTTTCTTATTTCTTCGTTCTTTGGGCCTTTGGGGCCCATATAGCCCAATGTCGCCGATTTAGCTGAGTGGGCTACTAAATTAAACGGACCTCAGTGACTGAAACGCCGCGTTTCACAATCTGATGATCTCCTGGCTTGCGACGGTGAGTTCGTAAAATCTGATCAATCAGTCCGATTGGATTTGGAATTTTTTGGGAATTTGAAATATTGGTGAGGAAGGAACAGCACAGCAAAGCGAGAAATGCAATTCTTCGGGGGAACGGAGATCAGCCCGTCGCTGCCAGCGTCAACGGCGTCGGGGAACAACGGCCACATGATGTACGTGTTCAACAGAAACGGCGTCTGCTTGCTCTACCGTGAATGGAACCGGCCCCTTCACACCCTGAACCAACAGCAAGACCACAAGCTCATGTTCGGCCTCCTCTTCTCCCTCAAGTCCCTCACCGCCAAGATGGACCCCACCACTCCCGATAAGGCCAATCTCGGCGTCCCTCAGCTGCCCGGCCAAGGCTGTTCCTTCCACAGCTTCCGCACCAATACCTACAAGCTTACTTTCATGGAATCCCCTTCTGGCATTAAGGTTAGCTTTTTCAGTTTTCTCCGTCTCTTTTTTTTCAACTTTCAGATCTCGAAATTAAAACTTATGGGTTGATTGAATATGAATATGAAATGTTTGTTGCTTCTGTTGGTAATTTTCTAGTATTAGATCTAGCGATTTAGGATCGGAAAGAAGGGCCTCTACTCTCACTCAATTACATTCTTGAACTTGAATTTGTGCTTAGCTTAGAAATTTGGACATGTGTGGTTGTGTTTGTGTATACCAAATTGTCATACAATTAGATTAATTCTTAATGTGCTGCTGCTGCTTTCTTACTCTTTGTTTTGTGTTTGTGTGTGCAGATTATCTTGGTTACTCATCCCAGGACCGGAGACTTGCGTGAATCTTTGAAGTACATTTACAACTTGTATGTGGAATATGTCGTGAAGAACCCGCTCTACACTCCTGGAACTCCAATCAGGTAACTTGTTCAGTTTCGATTATCGTAGTAAGATGTTTCATCTCATAGGTCATAAATAGATAGTCATCCCTACTTCATGTATTGATATTTCATCCCTACTACATGGATTGATATTATCAGTTTTATAATTTTCTGCTAACACTGCGTCGCATTGGGAATGCTCAAGTAAAGAAACTTAATATTGCAATTAGTGATAAAGAAACTGTCTTCTTGCATGTTTTGTTGCACTATAATAAGACTGATATTTGAACTAGGTTATTTCTTGTTTTAGAAGGCATGTTGATGTCTGTCATCTTATTGTTATTAGTATTTTGTGAACTCTGTTTGTTTAGAACCTGTCTACTTTTCTTTTCCTTGCATATAAACAGGTCTATTGAATTAGTCTACTGGTGTCTTATCCATCTCTGGTGTTAACTTTTGATACTATCATATTCAGAGAAGTATGAAGAAGATATCTAAGGAAGAAGAATGAAATAGAAACAGAGAGAAATCGCAAATCTTGATTTATGTATTGCTTAGCACTGTTACATTTTATACCTGTTAAGTAAGGCTTAACCGTGTAACCAATCCAGCTGGGTTGTTAGTAGAATTAGTTAGACAGCTGGATTGGTTACACGGTTAAGCCTTACTTAACAGGTATAAAGTGTAACAGTGGTGAGGCTTAAAGGTAGATTAAGCAATACATAAATCAAGATTTGCGATTTCTCTCTGTTTCTATTTCATTCTTCTTCCTTAGATATCTTCTTCATGCTTCTCTGAATATGATAGTTTACATCTGGTACTTTATGGATACCTGATTCGTTGATTTCATACTACTAGAACAAAGTTTCACGCCGCTATAACTTCTCCGGGGATTGCTTCTTATGAGATTTTGTAATACAGGGTTCAACTGTATATTCCCTGTCTGGATATGGTTATACTATATTTGTAAGGTTTTCATGCAAACGAAAATAGTTTTTGAATCCCAGAGTAATGTTTCCTTGTAGGTGTGAGCTATTCAATACAACTCTCGACCAATATGTAAGGAGCATTTCGTAGAAATCCAGTCACCATTATCATCTACTTGTTCGTTGTTTTATAAAAGTAGATTTTAAATAAGGAAATGGAAAAGCATGCCAAGATGAGGCCACCTATGTGTGTTTCTCCTTCTGTTTGGACAATGAATTTATGTCTAGGCTTATACTTCAAAAGCAGCAACGTTCACTCTTACCCAAGCCCAAAGCCGACGGGACACGTTTGGTTCTGATTCCGCAACTTGATTTTAAGGGTTTTACAATGAGAGATGCCCTAGCATTTTGACCTGTGTGGACTTCAGGTGTTTTATGGCATCATGTAATATCCTATTTGTTTATGTTAAATTGGTTTGATGGACTCTATAGAAGCGTGCTCTTCCTTGACAAATTTATAGTTTTCCAGACATTGTTGTAGGCCTTCCAAAAGAGAACGTTTATAGTTCCCTTAACGAGTTCGCCAAACAATGTTTGATCTTCGTAGGAGCTGTAGAACTGGAAGATACTGTTGGGAAATCTTTATTAAATTTGTTAATATATATAACCATACATAATATATTGAATGGTCATGCGGTCTCCATAGTTTAATGAGTGTATTGCATGAAATATCGTAATCAATCACCGCTAAAACTGTGGTCTCCATTACCATTTTGATTACCTACCAACCATTTGGGAAGATATCTTCTTTGGAACAATACTGAAAACTTTTCTTCTTCTTTTTTGTTTCAAATTAGTGAAAACTTTTTTAGCCTATTGTTTTTTGTTTTTAAACATGAAAATGACATTTACCAAATTGAAAGGACACATAAAGATAGAGAAGACTTAAGGGAGAAAAACTCTCTTACTGGGGCTCGAAAAAGAAGACCAGTAGCAAGCAAGTCGTATATACGCATATAAGAGCCAAGTGCAAGCACAGACCAACACACCCACAAAGACATAGCGATGGAGGCAGCTATAGTTTTATACCCATCACCACCAATAGGCCACTTGGTCGCCATGGTAGAGCTTGGCCAGTTCATTCTCACTTGCCACCCTTCTCTCAGCATCCACATCCTCATCACCACCCCGCCCTACAGAGCCGATGACACCGCCAAATATATTGCCTCCGTCTCCACCACCAACCCCTCCCTCATCTTCCACCACCTCTCCACCGTCTCTCTCCCTCCCTCCCTCACTTCCTCCTCCAACCACGAATCCCTAACCTTTGAGATCCTCCGCCTTAACAACCCCAACGTGCGCCAAGCCCTCCTCTCCATCTCCACCAACTTCTCCGTCCGTGCTTTTGTCCTGGACTTCTTCTGCGCTATGGGGCTCTCTGTCGCTGCCGACCTCAACATCCCCGGCTACTTCTTCTTCACCTCTGGCGCTGCCAGCCTCGCCTCCTTCCTCTACTTCCCCACTCTCCACAACACCACCGACAAGAGCTTCAAAGATCTCAACGCCCTTTTCAGCATCCCAGGAGTGCCGCCGGTGCCTTCCTCTGATATGGCAAAGCCAATTCTTGATCGCAACGACGTGGCGTATCAATGTTTCCTAGAGAACTCAAACCAATTCCCCAAATCAGCTGGGATTATCATAAACACGTATGAATCTCTCGAGCCCAGAGCCATCAGAGCAATCTCCGATGGGCTGTGCTTGCCTGAAAATGTTCCCACTCCGCCAATCTACTGCATAGGACCGTTAATTATTGCTCACAATAAAAAAGGTAGCGGCGGCGATGATGTGCCGGAGTGTTTGACTTGGCTTGATTCACAACCAAGCGGAAGCGTGGTGTTCCTCTGTTTCGGAAGCTTGGGATTGTTTTCAAAAAAGCAGTTGCAGGAGATAGCCATTGGGTTGGAGAGGAGCGGGCTGAGGTTTCTGTGGGTGGTCCGCAACCCGCCTGCTGAAAACAACACCGGCGTTGCCATCACGGAGCAACCGGACCCGGAGTTGGAGTCTCTGCTTCCGGATGGGTTCTTGGGTAGGACCAAGAACAGGGGGCTGGTGGTGAAGTCGTGGGCCCCACAAGTGGCGGTGTTGAATCACGAGTCAGTAGGCGGGTTCGTGTGTCACTGCGGGTGGAACTCGGTGTTGGAGGCGGTATGTGCTGGGGTGCCGATTGTGGCTTGGCCGCTGTACGCGGAGCAGAGATTCAATAGGATCGTTCTGGTGGAGGAGATCAAGATTGCTTTGACGATGGACGAGTCAGAGGACGGGTTTGTGAGTTGTGATGTGGTGGAGAAGCGAGTTAGAGAGTTGATGGACTCGGAGGAAGGCGACTCAGTGAGGAAGCGGACCAAGGCTCTGCAGAGTGAAGCCCATGCTGCACTGAGTGAGGGCGGGTCGTCTCGGGTCGCGTTAACGGAACTGTTTGAAAAATGGAACCAATTGGGCTAAAAAGTTTAGTTCAGATCAGATGGATATGACTTATCTCTTTAGCCTTATCTCTTGTTGTAAAGCCCTCGTTACTCATGACGGGTGGGGACCCTCTGTGTGTGTGTCAGCATTCAACATGACTTCCAGAGAGGAATGTAACTCTGCTGCTGTTATGCTTGCTTTTATTGGGATCTCCGAGATTCTGAGTCTCCATCTTTGGGACTCTCCCCTTGTTGCTGTGAGACAATTAATGTTTAATGATTTGTCTAGGGTTTTGTTCAATTAATGTTTAATGATTTCTCGGTCGTTGCACGTGGAAACTAGTCAATATCGGTGTCACTTTTTTGGTTGTTGAATGAATTACTGAGGTATCTTATATCTGCCGTTGAAGGAATTATGTAATTCTGTACAACCGAGTGTTGAATGAATCAAGGAGGACTTGTATACTCCATTTAGAGGAATTATATACGTGAATAAACACTCAATCAACCAGTAATGCTTGGTATTAGCCATTAATAATGGGCAATGCAACGTAAGAGTACGTGTGACCGTTGGACATAATATGTATATGGATAGTTTGCTAAAAAATTGAATTTTTATTACCAAGATACAGTACACATCTATATCCATAATGCTTTTCTTTTCAAAATTTCAATTTGGTAAGATGTTAGACCGACAATCACATGCAAATGCAATGCATTCTCTTGACATTATTTTTCGAATAGGCTTTATCCTATAAGCTCAAGGGCTGGGCCTTTGGGTTTGGGTTTTATGTGTTATAATTGGCACCTGATGGGTTTCTATATTGGGCTTCTAGATTTGGGTAATGAAATATCTGTTGGGCTTATAAAAATAAGTAGCTTCATTCATGTTTGAAGCTGGTCAATCACCCATAATTGTCTGGACTATAATAGGATTTTTAGTACCTGTGCAAACAAAGTAAAAATCACGTAAAATACTTGCAAGAATACAAGGCTATTGTAGTATAGATGCTCATGCAAGGTCGTTTTCCTCAATGACTATCTAGCAATTTATGTAAAAACAATTTCTAATCAACTACCTAAATTTAAAAATTGAGAAAGATGTTTATGAAATTGGTTGACACTAAAAGTAAATTTAAACAAAAACAAATACGATTTAAGGAAAAAGTTTTAAATATCAATTTATAAAAGCACTAGGGTTTCACCGTCACCTAGCAATCCTGTAAATTTTTACCAATTACTTATGATTTGCAAATGCCACTTTGAAGGTTAGGTTTTCCTAATTTATATTCTACTTGGAACCTCCAACATAGAACGTATATCTAACATGCAACTCGTTCGGACGTTCGGATCAAATCTGAACATGAAAGACTCATTAAGTTTTGTGAAAACCCTTTGAAAAACCATGCAACCCTTAAGACGTGATGTTCATCTTAAGTGAAATTACAATTATTAATCACAAAAAGCTAGCATCAATTTCAGGGAACCTTTCAACCAAAATTGCATTTAATCACATATTCATGCTACGGCTCAAGGCTTCACCCTAGCAAAAAAGATTTAGTTACGCATATTCATAATTGAAATCCAAGGAAATATCATTCGAATGAATAAGAATGAAAACACCTTAGCAATTGCTCTAAAAGCCAAAAAGAAGTTAAAAGGGAGTCCCCAAATTTCTGTGAAAAGGAGCTTAAATATCTCCTAAAACCTAGCTGCCCAATCCCTACAAGGAAACTAAGTTAAAATAAAATAATATTCTGAAATAAAATCCAAATTGGATTAGGAGAATCTGCCCAAAATCTGTCCAGCCACGTTTTGGCCTTAAATCTCCTCCAAATCAGGCTCAAGATAGCTTGTTTTAAAGATAAAAATATTCCAAACACTTCTCCAGAAGGCCACGAACCCATCTGAGGTCATCTTGGGCTCCAAAAACATTATACAAGACCAAAACGTCACTATTCCAGCATTGCGCATCGCTCCTTCATTTATTCTCCAGGAAATCATCGCTTAGTGGAAAAGTATGATATTTTGATACGATCAAGCTAAGAGACTCACGTACATCCTCCAACTGGAATTACTCCAAAATTCGTTCATTTGATTATGTTTTGCTCAAGAGGAAGTCGAAAGTCCTATATTGAAAATATAATTCAAAGTATCAAAAAAATTTCAAAATATTAATCAAAATATATTAAGAACGAGGTTAAATATATAATATAAAATATCCCCATCAGACTACAAAGCAACTTCACTGGCTACCATACTCGATCCACTTTTCATTCATACCAAGAAGAAAAATATATGGGCAAGGCAACGCCTTTATATGACATTGAGAATATCCATTTTTTGTATATCCGTTTCAACAAAAAACAACAAGTTGTATTCAATAGCTAATAAAGTGCGACGTGTTAGTATCATGTATGGAATTGTAAATTTGATGCAAGGTTGACAAGAATGAGCCGAGTTGAGGGTCACGGGTAACAACAAATTATTATGAAAAATTATGGAAGAGCAACCCGTGATTCAGGATATGGCACTGATTAAAGAGTGTGAGAGCAACCAAACAAACTCTCCTTTGTCTTGCATTTCAACTTTTTCAACTTCACCACCCGACAAAACCCTCTCTCTCTCTCTCTCTCTCTCTCTCTCTCTCTCTCTCTCTCTCTCAATATCAGAATACATGTCTCTCTCTCTCTCTCTCTCAATATCAGAATACATGTTTAAGGCTGAGACGACCTTGGATTCTTCCCTCTCACGGTCTCACTGCACTGCCTCTGCCTGTATCATTTTGCTCTCAAGGAAAGGGACCCGTGACTCAAATTGTGGGGTCTGATTACATTATTGCACTCATTTCTATCCACACAACACAAACTCACCTGCGTCCCTCCCTCACCAATCAGCATGCACCACTTCGTCATCTCACTATCAAGTTCTCAACTCATAGTACGTTCGTCTCCCAATCCATCAAATTCCATTTCAACTTTTTGCATGTGATGTGTTTGATTTAGAGCTCAATCTTCAATTCACACAATAATACTTACTCACAGACAGGGACAGGACAGCTATATATATTGGGTTTAATTCTATCTATCTGCATCAAGTGAATTAGCTAGACTAGAGGACCACAACTTTGCTTTGGATTTGGAGGCGCATGCAAAATATGAAGAAACGAGTTCTAACTTTCAAAATATACAAATTCAGATAAGAGGATATATAATATATGTACACATTACAACAACAAAGAATCAAATCAAGTGTTCGTCGCATTCAACATCCTTACATATTTCATTTCGTATTTATTCAAATCAAACATGCACATGAATTTACTTGTTTGATCTTGAGACCCTTCGGATCAAAACCATCAAACAAAGCACACGATACAACACAAAGAACCCAATCAAGATGTAGATGTTGCTCCACCTCTGCCTTTCATGCAGCCCTCTCTTCTGCAACACATCGCCTCCCGTCACCATGCACTCTCTGTTATTACCATTATTCTCTTCGTACCATATCAAACACCTTGACACAAGGCAGCCATACTCATTGATCAGGAGGGCGTCAAGGGCATACTTGTACATAGAAAAGAAGTGCATGAAGAGCCAGTACTTGGGCATGTTATCTTTCGAGATGAAGTAGCCAGAGAAGAGAAAAAACCCACCCAAAAGTATCGTCACCAGTGATGTCCCGGCAATGTAGTTGGGTGCCAGAGAACTCAAGAACAGCACGAACGAGTTCGCCATTAGAACTATGACCCATATGACCAGAACAAAATAAGCAAACGCTTGCCAAGACGCACAAAGACCCACCAAGAAATAGACCGAGACAGAGTAGATGATCGCGATTGCGAGCAAGTAAGGCAGGAAAACCAGAGTGTTTGCGATTAGATAGGAGGAAAGCCTGTAAATCCCACCAGACGTTTCTCTTAGGAGGATCGGCCTTTCGTTGATGAAGATTGGGAGGGTTTCGGTTGTGGAGGAAAGCAGGAAAGTGAGCGTGAAGGCGAAGAGACCAAACCTCTTTTCAATTCCCTGCTTGTCGAACCCAATGTTGATGTAAATGGTTCCTAAAACCAGACCCACAAGAAGAGCCTCCAAGGTGTTTGTTAAAAGAAGCTGTCTTGTTCTGTAAATGATTTTCCAAAACCGGTTGTAAAGAGCCAAAACCTCTTGGATTCGAGAGCTTTTGTATCTCGTGACTTGTCTGGTTGCCTGATTATCTTGATCAGAATTATGAGGATTAGCTGTAGAACTAGGAATATCAGGAGGCGATGATGGTACAGATGTAATTGGTTTTAAGGCAGGGAGGCGGTTGAGAATTTCCATGGTGTATTCTAAGGCATTGAGCTGTGGAGGGACTGTGAAGCCGTTAGAGAGCAAAAAAGCTTCAAGAGAAGAGAGTGTTCCATGGTGCACAACTGTCCCTTTGGACAGCAAGAGGATTTTATCAATGGCTGAGAGGATTTTGTTGCTGGGTTGGTGAATAGACAAAACCACAGTGCGGTGACGCGAGGTGCAAATGGATTTGAGGGTCTGGATTACGTTGAAAGCAGAGGTGCTGTCAAGACCCGAGGTGGGTTCGTCGAGAAGTAGCACGGCAGGGTCGTGGAGAAGGCTCAGGCCTATTGAAACACGTCTACGTTCACCGCCGGACAGGCCATGGCCAAGGCGTGTGTTGGCCAAATGCGTAAGCCTGAGCTCAGTGAGCAGAGAGGCGACAACGTCTGCAATGTTTGTTGGGCTGGAATTGGGAACCAGGAGGCTTGCGGCGAAAGCAAAGGTTTCGAAGACGGTGAGCAGCGGAAGGCATGCATCGTGCTGAGGGACGTAGGCAGAGAGTTTGCGGAATGAGGAAGGGTTGATAGGGGAAGAATTGAGGAGGAGAGCGCCGCCTGTGGGCGACGTTCGAGCGGCTAGGATGTCAAGGAGAGTGGACTTTCCGGCCCCGCTGGGGCCTACAATGGCGAGGATTTCGGAGGGGTAGGCGGTGAGGGAGATGTCTTTGAGGATGTAAGTGGGTGTGGGGGCGGTGCATGGCTTGAAGAGGAAGTGAAATGGGGAGAATGTGGTGGTGGTTGTGGTTGATTTGGTGTAGGAGATGGAAGAGGCTGTTAATTCGTAGGTTTTGGAGAGTGGTAGGGGTGCTGGTGCGTCTGCTTCCATGGAGTTTTAGAAGAGAGAGAGAGAGAGAAGTTGGAGAGTTGAAGTGGTGAAGAGGGAGAGATGCATGTAGTGGAGATATGATATTGGTTTCCTTCCATATGAGTTTGGTGTATAAAGCTGGCGGAGGACGACAAGTTAAAAAGGTGTGAATTAAAATTAATTAAGTAATTTTGGGGATTGAAAAAATTTATTAGAGTTTATTATCAAACACAAACCAAGACAAAACCTTAATTATGCAAGAATCATCTAAGTAAGGGACCTATTTGGCTTTATAGTATTTTTCTTCTTAATATATACAATCTCCTCAACTTCTCCTTTTATTAATAAAATTGTTTTTCAGCCACTCTGTGACTTCACTGTGGCTTATATGTTACAAGCTACTCATGCACAGTAACTATGGCCATTATACACCAATGACTACTGTTAGTTTGCCGTCGTTAGGCAAATAGCCCCTTTTTCTAGTAGTTGTGATTGTAATTGAAATCTTATTCTCATCACTATTGTCCTACATATTGATCTCCAGCTCTACGAACAATTCAATGGACGATTTATCTATACTCTAAAAGTTTTTCTTTTTTTTTAAGAAAAGGAAAAAAAAAGAAAGTAAACTTGTCGTGATCTAATTTTAATTAAGGTTAGTGTGTCAAGTAAAAAATTTGTCAATGATGATGATCATTGTTTCAGATCTAGTACCTGCTGCAGGGTTGACGGAGTAAGATCACGCCTTGATGTACTTGAAATCAGTAGCATACAATTTTCCAGCTCAATAGACAGTAAAAAACGATGGGGAAAACAAAAGGCAAACTGCAAGTAGGTTGAAGAAATTGGGTGGGGGCAGAGGCAGTTGTGAAGTAGTAGAGTCGGTAAATTGGGCAATGTGTGTGTTGGTTGAACAAAAACAAAAGCAAAAGTGATTATAATTTAAAATTGGGGGAAATCGATGAAGTTAAAGATACTGAAAAGGGATCCTCTTGTTGTAATTCACGAGTCTGCTACTGTGCTCTTCTGTCTGTCATATGCTTTTGTCTCAGAACCCTTGTTAGCCTATTGGATCGAGGATGAGGCTGCCTTCGCTTCACGACATGCTTTGCATTAAATAGCTGCACGTCCGTGACCAAGTCCCTTCCTACACTACACTACACTGTACACACATGATGATGCATTTGCATATTTACTTATTATTTTTTGCTTCATGCATATGCATGCACAAGGCTTCATATATTTTTTTGTTTTTTCGTCGACGAGGCTTCATATTTGATACAAACACCATAGGCCAGACATGACGACAACCAGGACAATCTGCTTTTCCAGGACTAGTTGCTGCATGCATCATGCATGTCACCAACTTCAAATGTTCTGTTTTTCTGTTTTCAAGTACCGACTAACATTTTTTGAAATTAATAATCCGCACTAAATATTATTTTTGGATTATTCCGAGTCTATACGTTTAGAACTGATGCGTTTAAGTGCATTTTTTAGACAAATTTGTATTAATGATTTAATATTTCTCAAAATTCTGTCAATGTCAGTTAAGTAGCGTAACTAATACTAATCAGAGTCGGCCAGAAAGCGAAAGCACTTGAGTATGTACGAGAGAAACCCATGCAAATGCAGGCCCGATTGCAAATGAGCTTTTATTTCAGGAAGCCTCAAATTAGGTTAGCATAAGGCTATTATGGTAAATATGGTCTGATGACCCGTCTTTCTTACTTTTTATTTTTTTTGGGGGGTTATATTTTATTTAGTGTTAAAAAAAACTTCATGATAGACACGAATCATAAATTTGCAAGAAAGCACTAGTATACTCGTGGGGGGGGTCGACGCACCTTAGAATAATTATATTTATCATAATCAAAACATTTATTTACGCGTCTTGGATCTGAAGAAACAAAGAGCCAATGGTGTATTCATGATACCTGATTAATCTCATGAAGCTTAGCCCCTAAGACCAGCCACCCAAAGGCCAAATTAGATCATCATCACACATTCAGTGAGATTAACAATTTAAAATGAGTGAAAATAACTACTAGGGTTTTAGTCTTTTTACACTCAAAAGTCATTCTCCATATAAGTGTTTTTTGGCTTATTCAGAATCACTCACAAACGAGCGCTTAAATCTTTTGGTTAACTAGCGTGGTCATGTGATGATACTCACTCAACTACATTACATAAGTTTTTCCTTAATTAAATATTATCCAGTTGATGATTTTGATGGATAATTTTGGTACAGAAGACAACTCAGTTGATCCTAGAAAGAAAAGGTTATATGTAATATCGAATATTAATTTACATAAAATTTCATGACAGGTAACTTATGAGCACCCAAAAGTGGTCCTAGAATCCTATCTGGATGGCAAGAGAATACGCTTGTCTTCCCCCACAAGCTGTGAATATTTCAAACTTGAGCTACTCAACTTCATGTCCTTGTATTTGTTTGCCCTACATCATGCCTTCATGTCGACATATTTGTGATGGAAATTTCAAACCAATTTCTTTCATCTCTCCCTCACAACTTCACAAGTCACACCCACCACCGCCCTCAGCTCAGCTGATCATTACTGAATTCTGAGTCAACTCATCCGATTCTTATCAACTTACTTACTATGTAATGTATGTATACCAGTTTCAAACATTAGATCCTAACGGCTAAACATCTTTATAAAAGATAAAACACATTAAAGGAAACTTGGCTGGAAAGGCGTATAAACAACAACTAGCATGCATACGTAGGGCCAGCACCCAGAACTATAGTCAAATTCTTATAAATAACACTTTCCTGTCCTTGTAGCACTACCAAACATATTCAAACCTAAAAAAAACGCTTCTTGTTCCTATTATTCTAAATCCGACCCAGAACCATGACAAGGGGCAACGAAGATTCACGGAGGAAGAGAAACAGATGTTTCCAATACATCGCTGGCGGGATCATATTACAAACCATAATCATAGTTCTGTTCGTGGTTTTCGTCATGCGTATCAAAACTCCCAAAGTCCGTTTAGACTCGGTTGCTGTCGACTCACTCACCGCCAACTCCAGCCCGTCCTCTCCTTCCTTTAAGGTTCAAATCAATGCTTTGGTTACCGTCAAGAACAAAAACTTTGGGCACTACAAGTTCGAGGGCAGCAAGGTCACTTTCTCGTACAAAGGCACTGCGGTCGGGGAGGGCACTATTGCCAAGGCTAAAGCCAAAGCTAAAAGGACAAAGAAGATTAACGTGACAGTGTCGTTGAACTCGAACAAGGTTTCAAGCCACTCTCAGTTGAGTAGCGATCTGAGTTCTGGGAATTTGACGTTGACTGCCTACGCCAAGTTGGATGGGAAGGTGCATCTCTTCAAGGTCATCAAGAAGAAGAAGTCTGCTAACTTGAACTGCACCGTACAAGTTGATACTAAGGCCAAAGTTGTCCACGTTTTGACTTGCAAGTGAAATCAATACAGTCCTTCCTGTTGTTGTTTTTTGTTTTGGGTAATTTTAATTTCATTTTTATGGATTTAAACTTTTAGGTTTATTGGTTGTTGTTGAATATAATATTTCATGGAGGGGCAGCGTATGTTAAGGCTTTATTGTATTGAATTGAAAATCTATCAGATTTTACTGTGTAACGTTAACATCAAAAGGCCCACCGGCAGAGATGTGTGTATGAATATTGTCGCACTCGCACAGAAAAGGTTATTCCTCAGCTTAAAGCATACGCTACAGGAGCAAAATTCATTTCATTTTTACAATCATAGCCAGCCTTAAGAGACAAGTTCAATCAAATGCATACATATATCACTTGGTGAAGTAATACTGTTTCTGGGTTCCATTATCCATAGATGCATCTGAATTTGATGGGATATATATATAGTAAAATATTATAAAGAGAACAAATTTCTTTGGAGTGGAAGCAATCAAGTCAAGCTTTCTGCATGGTCCTCCCTCCCTACTATACTATCAACAAACCCATATGACACGCATGTGGGTAACTAATTTCTTGCTCACTGATGATGAGTGAGAAATGCGTAACATATTCTATGAGGCTCTTCCTAGTTGAGAAAGGCATTCAAATACATTAAGGCTTTTATTATTTGTTGTTGGTTTGAAATATGATGAGCCCTTTTCTTTTCCTGGGTCACAAAAATATGATGAAAAAGTTAATGATATGTTATGTCAAACTAGCTGGCCACCATGTGGGTACCTTTGCTTGCTCATCACCTCAAGCATCTTCATAAAGCTCCTCCTGCTTCACGCCAAAGCTCCGACTTAAAAATCTGAGCCCAAAATTCAAATGGACTGGAAACCGATTGTCTCAGCCCAAAACTTTCACCAACCCATCAAATATAAAGTCAACTTTCACCAGCCCATAAAATTAAAATGCTCTACCGCACTCTCATAAACTCGTAACAAATGGGAAGTTGAAATTTTTTTGAAAAAATTGGGTACTATTTCTTTTAAAAACTTAAAAAACTGCGTATAGCTGGACGGCTATACTATTTTAAAAAACCGAGTATAGCCGTGCGGCTGTATTTATTTATTTATTTTTTCAAAAAACTGAGTATACCGGCTGTACTATTTATTTAAAAGGGACCCGCCGAACCCCTATGTCTCAAACAGGATAGCCGCGCGGCTATACTATTTAAAAAGAAAAAAAGAAAAACAGAGTACAGCCGACCGACTATACTATTTATTCTTTTGTTTTTTTCAAAAACTGCGTATAGCAGGACGGCTTATGATTTTTAAAAACAAACTTAAAAAATCGGGTATAGCTGGTCGGCCATACTATTTCTTTTAGAAAAACCGACTACAGCCGCCCGGCTATACTATTTCTTGAAAAAATTAAAAACTGAGTATAACTGGGTATAACGTGTCAAAAATAGTAGCCGCGCCGCTATACTATTTTTAAAAACCGAGTATAGCCGTCGGCTGCACGATTTCTTTTTAAAAAAACTGAGTATAGCCGCCCGGCTATACTATTTATTTATTTATTTTCAAACGAAGACCCACCTAGCGCCTAGGCGC